AGAAGGGTACGGGAGGGCACGAGAAGTGGGAGGGCAGAGAATCTGCCTCCGCCATTTGTAGGCTAGACATGAGAGGCGTCACTCATAAAATTTCTCTCTTTGAAATATTGAAGTATTGTTCTACATTTTCTTATTATTTTCTTTATCCCAAAGTCAATTTTTGGTTATGCTAAATTTATTGATACTTACTGTTGATGCGCAAAACGGGAGATCTTAGAACAACGTAAATCCGATCGTGAATCTGCATGAAATGTAAATAACACAAGATGTATCGTGGTTCACCCCAAGGTTTGGGCTACGTCCACACTGATATTGTATTTATCTGTTTGTGAGGGAGAGAGATGGAGAGAGCTTCTGAGGGTGAGAGAAGGCCTAGGAATTGGCCTCCCCCAATTGTGAGGGTGATGAGTCCTTTTATAGAATAAGGACTCCTCACTTATTACATATTTGCCCCTTCCTTTATTACATAATTACATTTAAGTCCCCTGAGTATTTATACGAGGTCTAAATACGAGGCCCTAAATATGGTATAAACAGTAGTCCCCCAAGTCTTCAGTCAAGAGAATCTTTTAGTTAGACACTTGAAATTCAGTCCATGTGTCAGCCGAAGTAACTAGATGTTGTCTTGAACTGATGCTCGATATGAGGCGGTGCTCAATCTGAAATGATGCTTAACTAGAAGTAGCACACGATGCGAGGCTGCTCGGCTCGTGGCTTATATTACCTTGGGTGGCTCGGCTTGTGGCGTTTGAAGGTGAGAGAGTCCCTTTTATAGAATAAGGGCTCACTCCTCAATATATGGATGATGGGATGCTCTCTAATTATGGTGAGGGAGTCCCTTTTATAAAATAAGGGCTCGCTCCTCAATACATAAATGATGAGTTATGAGTGATGCTCGCGGCGAGGCGGTTGCTCAGCTGGCGGCGATGCTCTCTAACGAAGGTGAGGGAGTCCCTTTTATAAAATAAAGGCTCGCTTCTCAGTACATGAATAATGGGTTAGGAGTGATGCTCTCTAATGATGGTGAGGGAGTCCCTTTTATAGAATAAGGGCTCGCTCCTCAATACATAAATAATGGGCTAAGTCCCCCAAGTATTTTTCATGGGGCCCAGTTGAGGCCCAATATATGTTGTATAGTGTAGTCCCCCAAGTCTTCGGTCAATAGAGTCTTGGCTGAAGACTTCAAATTGAATCCATGTATGGGCTGAAGTGGCGGTTGTTCGGAGGCTGTATTTGTATACCCTGCACTGAAGCTTTGTAGGTGAAGCTTTGCAAGTGAAGCTTTGAAGCTAGAGCTCTGTAAATGAAACTTTCGAAGCTGAAACTTTTGTAAATGAAGCTTTTGAAGCTAGAGCTCTGTAAATGAAGCTTTTGAAGCTGATTGACATGAGTGATGCTCATGGATGTTGTCATGAGTGATGCTCATGAATGTTGACATGAATGATGGTCATGAATGTTTATGTATGATTGTCATGAGTGATGCTCATGAATGTTTATGTATAAATGACATGAGTAATGCTCATGTATAATTTGGAGTACTGGACGTACTTTTGATCACCTGGTTGGTGGCATGAAGGAGAGTACGGGTTGTACATTTCATCATCTGGTTGGTGGCATGAATGGCTAGTTGCCAAATGATATTAAAGTACGGGTTGTACATTTCCTCACCTGGTTGGTGGCATGAATGGCTAGTTGCCAAATGATATTAGAGTACGGGTTGTACATTTCATCACCTGGTTGGTGGTAATAGTGGCAGGTTGCCGAATAATTTTGGAGTACTGGGCGTACTTTTGATCACTTGATTGGTGGTAATAGCGGCGGGTTGCCGAATAATTGTGGAGTACTGGGCATACTTTTGATGACTTGGTTGGTGCTATTTCGGGCTTATGGGCCTTCGCCCTCCACAACATGCCAGCCCATTTGTTTTGGGCTTTGCCCTCCTTATTTTTATTATTTTTTTTATTACCCTCTGATGGGGTTTATACAGATGTATCCGAAATATAAGAAAAATAATTTACATCATTTAGAAATAAGAAAAGTAAATCACATCTTTTTGGTGGGGTGTTTATTCCTTACTTTTGCAGTGTCCCCATGTGCCTCTCTTCTTCTTTTCTTTTTTCCTTTTCTGCTTTACTTTTGCTTTTGTTTATGTCTTCTTTTCTCTTTTGCAGATGGCAGACAAGGAATGATAAGTACATTAATCTTATCTCCGCTTTTGCATGATCCCTCATGATCACAGCCTCCACCACTTCTCCATACTTCCTGAAATATTCCTTGAACCATTCCTCATCTGTGTCCCAGGAAATCCCTCTTTTTCTTTTTCATGTGTAATGCTTACATATTTTATTTATGGCTGATGAGATGTCAGCAATACACACTTGGAATGACACAACTCACTCCAACTAACATTTGAACTTGAGCAGACTAAAATATGTACATACCTTCAGGGTGAAATCTCATGTATGGAGACAATTTGTACACGCGGCCTTTTAGAACAGTGCACATTGATCTCTTTTTTGGTGTTGTTTAACAAAATCTGACTCCCCATCTCTAACCGTGACCCAATCTGCATTGTGGAACTGACGGGCCGCTTCAACAAAAATCTTTCCGATGTAGCTAGTGCCAAAGTCGACCAAGACTTGGTGGGCATCGTGGAAGGTGTCGGGGACGTAAATCGACGCCGTAAGGGGGACGAGCATTTTCCTTCCCTGGGGGCGGAGGGAGAGGTCGTGGAGGGTCAGCTAATCTTTCATCATTACTTTCAGTAATCTCCTCATTTGCTTCCTGTGTTTCTGCTTCTCGTTCTTGCTTTGATCATCCGCCAACATCGACGCGACGTTTGCGGGCGCAGGCGAAAACGTGCAAGCAGTAGTGGTACTGGTCGCCGCCGTAGTTGAGGCAGCACCAGTTATCGACGAGATCGAGACGGATGGGTCGTCAGAGGCATCACTAGTTGTCGGCGCAGTTGTGGCGAGATCACCGCTACCACCCAGCGCGTCAGTACTTTTATGGCTTCGAATTCCGCTGATTCAACTAAGGAAGTGAACCCCGATGTCCAGGCTTAGGTGTTCACTGACGAATTGGCACCGCATCCGAGAAATGAACAGCCCAAACCAGCTCTCGAGGACCCACCGATCTATGCGGATACCACGACCATCAGTCCCAAGCTTTGTTCCTCGCTCTTGCAGCTCGGGACGGGTTGAATCCGTATTTAACTAAAACCCAAAGATGGGTGAGTCGACCCAGGTGGCGATGTTGGAGGGGTTGCAGAGGACGGCGTCGGAGAGATTTGCATAGGCAGTGCAGATTTGAAATTGCAGGAGAATCTGAGAGAGGGAAAAACAACGAGCTTCATCTGAGATTGTGGGTTTAGAGAGAAGAAAAGATATTTGTTGATTGGCTCTGTAAGTTGCGACCCTGTAAACTGTGATGTGTGAGTTTATTACTGTGATGATGTCGTGATGGACGACAGAGATTGAAGCAGCAGAGAAGTTCATTGTGAAATAAACAACGATGAGTTGAGGTTTTCTTGAGTTGTGTTTGAGTGGTGTTTGGAGATTTGAAATGGATTTTGCAGATTCACTGCGGAAGTGAAAAAATGAAAGAGAACCGACACAACTTTTCATATCGATTTCCACAGACGACTCCAAATGTTGATGCACAAAATCGGAGGTCTTGGAACAACGTAAATCCGAACGTGAATCTGCATGAAATGTAAATAACACAAGATGTATCATGGTTCACCCCAAGGTTTGGGCTACGTCCACATTGATATTGTATTTATCTGTTTGTGAGGGAGAGAGATGGAGAGAGCTTCTGAGGGTGAGAGAGGGCCTAGGAATTGGCCTCCCCCAATTGTGAGGGTGAAGGGTCCTTTTATAGAATAAGGACTCCTCACTTATTACATATTTGCCCCTTCCTTTATTACATAATTATATTTAAGTCATCCAGAGTATTTATACGAGGTCTAAATACGAGACCCTAAATATGGTATAAACACTTACCTTCAATTAATTCATAATAACAACTATTGTATAATTAGTGGGAGTTAATTAAATACAGGTTCAATATATGTTTTTATGAGCTTACTATTTGATCGGTTGACCCAATTTTACAATAGCGACAAAATCGTATATACTCTTACATAATAAGTTAACTGTTAACGAATTAATACATAAAAGTCTCATTCGAGTTGATTGAAACTCACAAAAATAGGGTTTAGATGGTAAATTGAGAGATTGCCTCACAAGCCCATGAATTTCACAATTAAATTATCTTTGAATCAAATCAACTTCAGCCAAATTTTATAATTGTAACTTAAACGAGCTTATTATTTAGCCGAATGACCTAATTTTATAATAGCGACAATATCATAACTAACGAAACAAGTTAACCATTAACCACTAACGAACAAATATAACCAAAGCTAATCCAATTTGCCACTAACCAAAACTTATTCAATTTGGCGAGTAAAAGACTAAGACTTTAAGTTGTAAAACCCAAAAAGTATCTCAGAAACTCACAGAACGTAGCTTCACAACTGAAATATCTTTGAATCAGCCTGACTTGAGTCAAGCATCCAAACACCAAGATGCCATATGAAAAAACTAAAAAGTACAACAATTTAAAGATCTAAACAGAGAAATTTATACAAGATTGATGAAAAAATAAAAACCTTTTAAAGACACACACCCACATGAACAGTGTGACCAAAGTCCAAAAAGTTACAAATGTGAATCCAGAACCCCAAAACAGAGTGGATTTCTCTGAAAAAATTTCACAGCAATAAAAGGTATGAACATGGAGCCTACCAGGCATACCTCGTCAGATCTCTTCTTCTGGGCCCCATCTTTTTCCTCACTTCAACGGTGTTCCTTCCCCTTCAGACCACTTCCTCAGTCCCTCAGACATCACAGTGACTTTAGAGAGAGAGAGGGAGAGAGCAGAAATAAAGCGTCTCTCAGATTTTTCCATTTTTTGTAGTCTCCAAAGAGGTAAAAACCAAAACCCAACACTCAGAAAATTCATTTTTTTCACGAAAAATCTTCACTTTGTCCCTAACTCTAAATTTTGGGGCTGAAAATTTGAATAAAAACCGTGTCTAAAAATGGTATATATCTTAAATGCCCATTATTTCAATCCCACAGTGATTGCATTTTGTCAAAACCTCGTCTTCCGAATGAAAAATCTTGTCCTTTGTCCTAAAGATACTTTCCCTTTCCCCGTTTCGGCCTTTGGGGCAATTACATATTTCCATGTTTCAGTCTTCCTTTCTCTCTCTACACCTGTGGTTTCTCTCTCTACACGTCTGGTTTAACTCCGCTGTGTTCATTTTCCAGAGATTTGGGTTTTGCCAAAGTCTGAACTTTTTCGGGGGCCTCATTGATTTCAGCCAACTGGGTTCTTCGACTCGAGGAGAAAAGATGGATTTTTTGCTTCCTTGTTCTTAGATTTGAATCCTGGCAAGTGTTCATATCTGAATTTTCAAGTTTTATTATTTTCCTTGTTATTATATTTCGCATTGGATCTGTATTGCCTCAAAATACCATCCTCTATCAAATTTCGTTTCTATGATTTTAGTGAGTGAGTGTGTTTCAAGTGTCGGTTGGGTTTTTGGGAAGCATAAATTTAAAATTTGTGTAAGTTTTTGGCTGCAATTATTTTAGGTATTGACTTTTGGGTTTCCATATATTTTTGGATTCCATTTGCATTGTCGCCGTATATCATTTACTGTATCGCTTGAATGAATTTCTTTTGTTTTTCTCTCTTGGTTTCGAACACGAACAACGTTGTTTTTCTGTGTTAAGGCATATACTGCTGTCTTGGTCCTCTTCCTAATTGTGTGAAGAGTAGACTTTCGTTTCGTGGTTCCATTTGTCTGTTGCTGTCAGATATCGACTATGTGTACATTTCTTACAGTGTTGTAGAATGCTTGTCTTAGTTTCTCGACTCTAAAACCGATTAGTTTGGAAAAGAGAATTCAATTCTACTGCATTTTAAAGTTGTTTACATGGGATTTTGGAATTCGACTACTGATTGAAGATGTGTCTTCCATTTCAGAGTGGCGTTTACATCTTATGCAACTGCACTGTATTTGAGTCATTCGGAAAGAGGGAAAGTTTGTAGATATGGATATCGGAGATGATAGCTCGAGGTTCTGTTCTTTACCGGCTACAACTTCAAGGAATATGTCCACCTCATCTTCGGCATTCTTTTCAGCAAACCAGTCGCCATTTTTCTCCCCAAGATCGCCATCTTGTCAACTATCTGAATCAACAAGGTCTGATGCTCCATGTGATAGCATGGTTTTAAGTACAGATCCCCTCAGTTCCAGCTCTGGAATTCCAGACCTTGAATCTCTAGCAAATGTAAGATATAAATTGTCAAACATGTCACCGGCCCCAGCTGCTTCAGTCTCAGGTGATTTTGAGAAGTTTGACCGCGTGTCTTCCTCAACAGCCATTTCTAATAGCATTCTATCTAGTCACAGCCATGCCTGGGTCTATGAGTATTCTGGGCAAAGAGAGAGGCAGAGAAGGCCTGGGAGAAACTCTGGAGACTCATATATATCTGGTCCGGTTTCAATGACATCTAATAGACTGAGGAGCTGTGATGTTTTCATAGGTTTGCATGGCCGTAAACCTTCTTTGCTGAGGTTTGCTAATTGGCTCCGAGTTGAGTTGGAAGTTCAGGGGATGAGTTGCTTTGTATCTGATAGAGCTCGATGTAGGAACTCTCGCAAACATGGAATTGTTGAGAGGGCCATGGACGTTTCTTCTTTTGGGATTGTCATCCTAACAAGGAAGTCATTCCGAAATCCATATACCATCGAGGAACTTCAATTTTTCGCTAGCAAGAAGAACTTGGTCCCAATATTCTTTGATTTGCGTCCAGGTGATTGCCTTGTCAGGGATATCGTTGAGAAGAGAGGAGAGCTGTGGGAAAGACATGGGGGAGAGTTATGGATTTTGTATGGAGGACTCGAGAAGGAGTGGAAAGAAGCTCTTCATAGCCTCTCCCGGGTGGATGAATGGAAATTGGAGGCTCAGGATGGTAACTGGAGAGATTGTATATTAAGGGCCGTCACATTATTAGCAATTAGATTAGGGAGGAGAAGTGTTGTAGACCGGTTAAGCAAGTGGAGAGAGAAGGTGGAGAAAGAGGAGTTCCCTTTCCCTCGAAATGAGAACTTTATTGGCAGGAAGAAGGAACTCTCTGAGCTGGAATTCATACTTTTTGGTGATGTCAGTGGAGAAGCAGAAAGAGATTATTTTGAGCTTAAGGCTAGGCCTAGACGAAAGAACTTGACAATTGGGTGGGGTAGGAGCAGTTCATTTGATGAAAGGCGAAGGGAACGAAAACTGGAGATTGGAAGCAGAAAGGGAAAAGAACCAGTTGTGTGGAAGGAGTCAGAGAAAGAGATTGAGATGCAAAGCACAGAAATTCCTCAAAGACAATCAAAGCCCAAAAGTGGTGGAAGATATTCAAGGAGAAAAAGATCAACAAAGGTTGTGTATGGGAAGGGGATTGCTTGTGTGTCGGGGGACTCGGGAATTGGCAAGACGGAACTTCTTCTTGAATTTGCCTACAGATATCACCAGAAGTACAAGATGGTTTTATGGATAGGAGGGGAAAGTAGGTATATTAGGCAAAACTACTTGAATCTCTGGTCGTTTCTAGAAGTCGATGTAGGGGTTGAAAATTGCTTTGACAAAAACAGAATCAAAAGCTTTGAAGAACAGGAAGACACAGCCATAGCTAGAGTACGCAGAGAACTCATGAGAAACATGCCATTTTTGGTGGTGATTGATAACTTAGAAAGTGAAAAGGATTGGTGGGACCACAAACTTGTAATGGATCTTCTTCCCCGTTTTGGTGGAGAGACGCACATAATAATATCCACACGCCTTCCTTCTGGATGAATTTGGAGCCTTTGAAACTCTCGTACTTATCCGGGGCAGAAGCAATGTCGCTCATGCAGGGTAGCGTAAAAGAATACACAGAAAATGAAGAATTGGATGCTTTACGGGCTATTGAGGAGAAAGTGGGACGCTCAACCTTGGGACTTTCTATTGTAGGTGCAATATTGTCTGAGCTGCCCATACTTCCAAGTAAGCTGTTGGAAACAACTAATAGAATGCCATTAAAAGAATTTTCATGGAGTAGCAGGGGGACTAATTCGTTGAGGCGGCATACTTTCCTTATGCAACTCCTCGAGGTGTGTTTCTCGATTTTTGATCACGCAGACGGACCGAGGAGCTTGTCAACGAGAATGGTCCAGGCAAGTACTTGGTTTGCACCGGCCGCGATTCCAGTTTCTTTGTTGGCCCAAGCTGCTCACAAGATACCTGAAAAGCATCAAGGGACGTGGTTATGGAGAAAGCTGATGAAGTCTTTAACTTGTGGCTTTACTTCATCATACACCAAAAAATCAGAAGCAGAAGCGACTTCCATGTTGTTAAGGTTTAACATTGCCAGAAGCAGCACCAGGCAGGACCATATCCATTTCCATGAACTCGTCAAGCTTTATGCTCGCAAGAGAGTTGCGAGCGGAGTTGCACAAGCGATGGTTCAAGCTGTTATCAGCCGTGGATCAATATCTCAACACTCAGAACATATCTGGGCAGCCTGTTTCTTAATATTTGGATTCAGCCATGACCCTGTGGTCGTTGAGCTTAAGGTTTCGGACCTGCTGTATCTTGTCAAGGAAGTGGTTTTGCCTCTTGCAATACGGGCCTTCATAACATTCTCTCGTTGCAATGCTGCCCTAGAACTCCTCCGCCTATGCACCAATGCCCTGGAAGCAGCGGACCAAGCGTTTGTAACCCCAGTTGAGAAGTGGCTCGATAAATCACTTTGTTGGAGGCCGATCCAGACTAATGCTCAGCTGAATCCTTATCTTTGGCAGGAGCTTGCGCTATCAAGAGCCACAGTGCTAGAAACTAGGGCCAAGCTGATGCTAAGAGGGGGACAATTCGACATAGCTGATGATCTAATTAGGAAGGCGCTTTTTATCAGAACTTCTGTTTGTGGTGAAGATCATAAAGACACTGTAGCTGCTCGCGAAACTCTTAGCAAAGTCACCAGGCTTCTTGCAAATGTTCAAATTCATACTTCACCGTAGATCCCATTTTTTTTTCGTAAGCAGATTTTATTCTAGCATTTATAGAGTCTGAAATAAAACAGTTGTATACCCCATTCTGATAGTTTTTCTATACCAATTTTTAGTCCGAAAGAGATTCCATTCCTTTGGCATAACATCATCATTTCTTGTTATGCTTATGTGAATAACATTTGTCTGCCTCCAGATTGGGGATTAAAATTTTGATTTTGCTCTTTCATATTATAAATAAACTGTAATGCAGCTCCAGAGTTTTTGAAGGATTGTTCGATGATGACTTGCGGGAGTCGGGCATATGAAATATTGTTTGCATCCATGTTAACTTCTGGGTAATATGTTTCTCTTTTACTACTTTTGAGTTTGGCATCTCGAGATCTTAATTTGATGTAGAATCAGTCTTCTACCGTATTTCTATCTCGTTGTCTTACTTTGTTGTATGTTCGTTGAGGGCAGAAAGAAGCACAGGAGTTCCGAATTGCTGTCATGAGTGAAAACTTTCACAGCTCATCGCCATATTCCGAGTGCAAATCCAGGTAAACTCTTTCTTTCATCTCTTAACTTCCGAGCTGTAATTTTATGTCTCGATTAGGAGTGTGAGCTATACGGAAAGATGCAGAAAGCTTAACATTTGGATGTACATTCTGCATAGATAACGGGCTCCCATGTGCTCGAAGTTGTTTATACGTATCACATCCGAAACTGAATGCACTCATACGTACAAATTCATACGATGATCGTCTGACCAAATGCTTGACTTGAAGTTGTCTATTAATCTCTGAATTCAAGCACAGATGGTTAAGGATTTGATAATTGACAAGATATCGACGTAGTACTTGTCATGCTTGTGTTACAACGTAGGAAGATCAATGTAATATCTGAATTGACAGGATGCTTTTCTGCTCATTTTGTAGGCAAGTATTTTGCAACAACTTCTTTGTTTCTCCGCACTGTCTTGCCGTGGTCGGAAATGCAACGGTGTGTCCTTGTGACTCTGAATTTGTTGTGAGCTTACAGCGCTGTCGGAACGGTGAATCTGAATACGTATTGAGATGCTTCTTTTATTATTGTGCCGAAGTTTGACGGATGAACTTATGAGCGTGTATGCACCACAGGAGTTGCTGAAACTTGTTTGGATTATAGCAACACTGGAGTTGCGAAAACTTGTTAGGATTACGATACAATAACAAAAGTATCCTCAATTATAAGGAAGCAAAAAGTAATGAGATTCTGTTCTTAATTTATACTGATATATTAGTCCTTAATCACATACTACTCTTTTCTTTCATGGAAAGAGATCATCTCCGGATCTCTTCCATTAAGGCTACCGGATCAAGTGATATGAAATTTCAATAGTCCGAATCACTTGATCCGATGATCTTGGTGGAAGAGATCCGAAGAGAATCTTTCAGATCTCTTTCCTTCTTTCACAAATGGGTTTGAGCGGAAATTTCTTTCTCATCACAAGACTTGTGGGTGATGTACAAATGATACGATGCAAATGATTGGAGCAAGAAATTCATTAAATTTTGAATAATTAACAATATATATCATTACTTGTAAAACTTAGAAAATTTATTTTGATCTTTGTGTATTTAATTGAGAATTTGAGAGACTTTAATGGATTTTTAAATTCATGAATTTTTATGGAGTTTATAATTGATTTGTAGAGATTCCATATAAAATTTTGATTCAATTCCCTCGAAATCTCATGGAGATGTGAGATTTGTGGATGTTTCAAATACACTACGAAATCTCTCCAATTCTCTCTAATTGTTCAACTTTCTCAAATTCTTTAAAATCAACTTCTAATTGAATACACCTAGAATGTTATAAACATCTTTAAAATCCTAATTGAATACACCCGGATTTCTACGGATTTTAATAAACTATCTTAAAATTTTAACTGAATACACCAGTAATTTCAGATAATCACTTAAAATCCTGATTGAATACCTTTAAATTCATTAAAAGAATTAAAATTCCTCAAAATCCTAATTGGATACATCATCTTTAACAAAAAAAAATTCACGAAAAAGCTAAAATAATTAATGAACAAATTCAAAATTCATTACTATCAAATTTAAATTTGAGAATTAGAGTGAGCAGTAGCAGTTATAAATCTTTAAAACATATGGACTAAAAAGTCAAAAAATAATAAATGACTCTTTGTCGAACACAAGTAAATAGTCTGACAATAAGTAAGGAAACGAACAAATTGTCACGAATCCATCTGGTGACCTCCATCTCCTCTGTTAGATTGTATGATTGATTTCTGATAAAAGTGGGACCCGATTCGAAAGTGTAGTTAACTGTTGGACGTGACATCTTCTTCTGCATCGAAATTATAATCTGCAAAAACATTTTCACAAAAAATATTAAAACTAAAAATAAAGAACCAAAAAGATAAAAACGAAATGCCCTCACGCAGGATCGAACTACGGACCTTCAGTTTACAAGACTGACGCTCTACCACTGAGCTATAAGGGCTTCTTGCTTTCGTAATAGTAATAATATCTATTTATTGCTTATATTTATTTTTGGTTCACATTCCAGTTTAAAATTTTAGTGGGAAGGAAGGGTGTAAACATAATTTATTGATTTATTTTATGCAATATATGGATTTATTTTTTATTCATTGAAATTTAAAATATACGTGCCGCTTTATAGAGCTGCAATCAACGGTAAATTGCTCTGGTGGATAAGGGTTTTCTCCTCAACCTCCCCTTTAGTCTGGCTTAGAGGAGTTTACTCTGTCTACATGGAATGGAAATCAGAATGCAATTAATTTGGCTCCTCAAAAGGTGAGAAGAAGTTCCTCCACAAAATACTTTATGACTGAATCATGGAACTTCGTGCTTATACTCATAATCATATTATAAATTAGTCTATAAAAATCTTTGCAAAAAATAAATAAAGTATGAGATCGTTTAATCATCGAATTTTATAAAAACGAATGGTCGGATAGTGCAAAAGCATTAAGAACCGTTTATTTATTTGCTATAGTTGATTTAACTAAACAACCTTGTTTTTTAATTGATTTTTTTTGGCAAAAATTATCTTTTACAAAATATTTATAATATGAACGGTTCCAACTATAAGCACAAAATTTCATAAATCGGTCGCAAAGTGTTTTGAGGAAGAACTCATCAACCCTTGGAGCCAAGCATTCCTCAGTCAAAATTACCACTAGTCCAAAACTTTTTTGAATCCCATGTTTAAGTTTTGTAATGGATCGTTCTAATCAATGTTCATAGTTCAGCGTTCGCAATCAGCCAACTCTTGATCCAGTGATATTTTTCTTCCTAATAATGGAAAAGCTCCAAAGTTCAAATACTCGGCCCAATTGATCGTCTATTGTTGGTAATTATGCAGAGAGAGACATTTTCACAACATTCAAAACAATTAATCATAGTTGATTAACTTACACAACCTCCATGAACAGCAATGACACAAGGGCAGGACTTTTTCCGTAATCCCTCAGTTTTTTCGGTTTAATTTTCCATTCCGAAGCAGAACATAATGTACAGCAGACAATTCATTTGGCCAGCATTATACACCTAAGGATCGGCATGGCCTGCGACTGCATCGTCACCGGAGTCATACTCACCTTCACTCAGCTCCTCATCACTTGATTGATCTTCTCGAGCACCCCCTATGTCTTCCGGCTTTGCATATTTCTCGCAATACTCTGTAAAATACAAAGAATAATCAGCATTATATCTACAAACACTGATCCTAAAGCAAAATGACATGGTGAAGTAGGGTACGAGGCCGTTGGGACAATCCAAGTAAAGATGTTGAACACGGAGATATCATGACTTATATTTGGTGAAGCGAGCTCGTCACCAAATATGTCATAATATTTGAAACCTTGATACATACATAGTAGGTGTGAAGCTATTTCCTATTTGAAAACTCCAAGACCCATGTTCTTAATCCTTGTATCAGATCAGATACTGATTCTAAAGATTTTAATTTTCTGCAACTCCAATAATTTCAACTGAACCTAAAGACCAACAAAGCATGAAAATTTAAGCTCTTATATGCTAATTCCGAGACATCGGGTCACTTCAGCTCCAGGCATCCTTGTGTTACAAGTCAACCAGTTTAAGTGACGGATGTCTAGATTTGTGTATTAGACATCAGAGAACAAATTTCTCCTAAGAATACCTTTAAAAGACTGCTGAAAACAGCCAACTTTGATCCTCAGTGAGATCAATATTTCAGAACCGGAAGAATTGACTTACATTTTCCCCAAAATCTTCACAATTGCAGGCATTTTCCTAGTAGATGAGCACGTGATTGTACCCTTAATCCTTCGAAAAAAATTTCTCTAATCCATTTAACTGTAACCTTAGAATAGACAGTAATATCTGATCTCCCGAGTAGAAGATATCTTCCACGCTATAATCATATATATTAAAAAGCTTCAAATATATGTGACGTATAGAAGTTTCAAAAGCATACACTGAAATTCTAAATACAGCTAAAGTTTACTATTTGCACATGACTTAATTTTCTAAAGAATTCAAATCTTCAAAGAGAACACTAATATTGTCATTTGATACCTGGAGTCCCCTGAAAGATAGATTAAAGAGCCCCCCAAGTCTTAAAATTAAAACACTGGAACTCAAGTAGATTTGGACGTCTCAAATATTTCCCACCTAATTTGACTACCAACAACAACCAAGCTTTATCTCGCTAAGTGGGGTTGGCTGAATGAATCCTAGAATGCCATTGCGCTCATGCCAAGTCTTCCGTTAGCTCCAATTACTCTATATATTTTCTTATAGTCTCTTTCAAAATCTTCCTAGGTCTTCTTCTACCCCTTTTGACTACCATACGGTGAAATTTCATAACAATTCAAACCAGTTTAAATGTTCCACTAAACCCACACCAAAAACTATATGTTTAAACATCACAGATTCAGGACCTTCAAACACTTTCTTAAATGCGACAGTTAGGATTTAGCTTTTTGTATATGTGAACAATGAAAACAAGGAACCAAACGGAAAGTTCAAGCATGTCAGGCAGCCCATATAAGTGACAACCAATATATATTCAATTTACGAAAGCTGCATTACCACCTTTTACTCTTTGATCATAAGCAGTGCGATCACGCATGATCAAAGCAGCAGCCTCTCCATTCAATGGATCTGATGGGTTGGGATATAAAAGAAGTTGGGGCAGAAACACTTCAAACACATTAACCAGGTCTGACACATAGTTAAGAAAGACAAGATGTAAATTTCTCATTTCGTCAAGGTAGCAGCACTAGTTATAAAAGGATAACTACAAAGTATAAATGAAAGTAAAATGTTTTAGTCTCCGGATAAACATATCAATTTTACAGGTACAAGAAAACATGTATAGGCCTACCAAACATGGGGCTCCAAGTTTGGTTGATAACATCTAAACAAACAGATCCCGACCTGGAACTCAAAAAAGCACCATTAGCCAGACGTAAGTACAAGATTTACAGTGTGTTCAAGTTTTACAAACAATGCCACATTATTTAAAAGAACATAAGACACGATTAAATGCCAAAGTAGTGAATTTTTGGCATCGTTCAACTCACATTTCATCAACATTTGGGTGGTAGATTTTGTTGACAAAGCCAATTGACGGAGATTTGTAAGGATAAGCATCCAGTAGCTCCACCCTTATTCTCCAGACACCTCCCTGATACAGACCTGCCACGTTCCGTTCAAAAAAGGGCAAAAAAGAAAAGAAAAAATCCCACCTTTCATTCAATATCCATATTACCCAGAAGCAAAAGTACCCATAGACTTCCTCCTGTTGAAGAAACAGCAGTAAAGCGAAATCCATGTCGAAATTCTAAAATCACATACTAGTTACATGGATGCAATTCTAAACCACTCTAATCTATAGCCAAATCAGTTAATTTAGAAAAGTTTAAGTAAATTCCCACTACTAATAATTCCAAAACCCAAAAAACTTGCACATGATGAACACAAAAGAACACATCTTTACCTAAAATGGATAAAACCCACCAAAGATATCATAAAAAATAGCTGAAATATAAATAAGAACACACAAAGATTAAAAAAAACTGAAAAAAATAAATGAAAAATCATGTTCTGGGTTCGGATGATTTACTCTCTTTGGGGCCATTGAAATCCACATAGAACTCTTGCATACCGTCATTGATCATCTCCACCTTGTAATCACTCATCATCCTGGTTCATACCACCCAAAACAAAACAGAACAAACTTGAAATTAAACGATCAAAATTAGAAATAAATAAAAAAATATTAATATTTATATAAATTTGAGAACTTGTACAGTTTCATCAAATCCATCTCACGGCGTTTGCTTGGGGAAGACATTTTTTGTGGCTCAGTTGGGGTTTTTGGGGTGGAGATAGAGGCTGAGGGAAATTCTGAGAGAGCTTTCTGCAACAACAAAAATAAATTCGGACAAACAATCAGAGAAATACGATTGGAATATATATGTACGTGTTCAGAAAAGTCGCCTGCTTTGCAGTCATGGTCCAGTAAATTTCTTGAGTTGCTGCTAGATTTCCTAAGGCCCACAGTAATTTCCTCTTCTGCCAAAGTGGTCGAATACTAAGTAATTTCCTTTTTCCCTTTGCTTCAATAGTTAAAATTTCAAGATTATTTGCATTTTTCTTAGATTTTATTTATTTATTTAACAAACGATAATATTTACATTAAGATGTAGATGGTAGGTTTAGCCTCATAATATGCTAGTAATAATGTGATTTAAACTCGCATTTGGTAAGGATCAAACCTAAGATTTCTTACTTACAAGTGAAGAGAAATACCACTAGACCGTAATACTAAATGACAATTTTTATTTCCTTTTAGTTTTTAGGAGATGTTCTAGGGATAACCGTGCGGCCCTGCAAATATAAGCAATTCGTGGACGGTTCTTTAGTCATTTGTGCGCATGTGAGCGTTTATTAATAGTATGCGTTTAACTTTGTTAAGTCATTTATTTGTATAAATTGCATGCATATCACCTAATAATGTTACGAGATTTTTTTTTATTCTTTTTCAATAATAAGAGTCTTAATAGTTACTATAAATTTGCAGATGCAAAAATTTGGAGGTCTGGAGTGTTGACAACTTTAGTTCTTTTTAAAAATAATTTATAGTAAAATCTCGAATTTTTCAAATTTTGTTTGCAGGGCTGATTTTGAATTAATTTATATGTATAACCACATCAAAAACTTTTTTTTACGAAAAAATTGTCGTTGACCACTAAAAAAACATTAGGGGTGTGCGCAAATATATTAATCTTTGTTAAAAATTTTATCAAAACACTATTTTTGTTCTTTAAACATTACATTTATTGTTGTACATACATCACTTATTGCTTAACTTTAAATTTAGACCACTGAGGAAAAAGGTAGAAATTTTTTGGCCTAATCGGATAAATGATCCCCGTGGTCATAAGGTATTCGGATGATAGCCCATGTGGTAAAAAAAATCTGATTTAAACCCCTGTGGTCACAGTCTGTTAGGATTTAAACCCCTGTGGTCTAAGTCTGTTAGGATTTATGCCCTTCTGTCATTCCTCCATTAGGTTTAGGTTGGCCATATCGGATAAATGGTCCCCGTGGTCATAAGGAATTTGGAAGATAGCCCATGTGGTAGAAAAAATTCGGATTTAAATAATTTTTAATTCATTTCTTTTTTTTTTAATATTTTTAAAAAAAATATGTAAATTAATTATGTAAATAAAAGATATATATCTATATATATAAAGTGAGTACCCTAAAATGGTGAAACATTCAAAATACCATAAATTGTCCTTTAAGAATTTCATAAATTACAATTGAACCAAAAGAAGCTAAAGTATTTAACCATATTTTTATTTTGAATGAATTTAATATTTAAAATTATAGAAAAAAAAAAAACAAAACCTCCAACATTAGTGGGTGGTTTCACGTTTTTAATTCATTTCTTTTTTTTTTAATAATTTTTTTAAAAATATGTAAATTAATTATTTAAATAAAAGATATATAAAAATGTCAATTGCCACACGCGTATGCGTGTGGCAAGAGGCTAGTAAAGAATTAATTAATCGGTTGGATATTCGGGAGTCAAAAACTCGTTAATTTTATAAAGGCATTTTGAATTATTTGATTTATTAGATCTTGAATTTTAATGAATTATGTGATTTATTAGTTTCACCTCGTTCTGTCGCGTCTCCTCAAAGAAACTCTGCTCCACTTCTAAGCTTAGCGGAGAAATGACAGAACCTCTAGTTTCGGGCATAAATACTAACAAACTTAGACCATAGGGGTTTAAATCCGAATTTTTTTTACCACAAGGACTATCTTCCGAATACCTTATGACCACGGGGACCATTTATCCGATTTTGCCAACCTAAACCTAATGTAAGAATGACAAAATGACATAAATCCTAATAGACTTAGACCACAGGGGTTTAAATCCTAACAGACTGTGACCACAGAGGTTTAAATCCGAATTTTTTTACCACAGGGGCTATCATCCGAATACCTTATGACTACGGGGACCATTTATCCGATTAGGCCAAATTTTTTTTATAGGTATGCATGTGTACAAAATGATAGTGGTACTCATCCAAGTTTAGGCCTTTAAATCTTGATGCCTAAAAAGTTAACTAGACATGTACTAAGCCACCCATTTGGGTGCACACTAGTAGATACTAGATACCCTTTCTGTAATTGCCTGTACATTTTCAATTTCAAACCAACCAAGTTGAGACCGTTTTTCTTATCACATTTTCTTTCGAGAAAATTTTGGGTGTAAAAAACAATCTCATATGATGTTACTATTTTAGGCTTATTATATTAGTACTCCACAAATTGTTGAATAAACTCCACATACTTGTGACACCATATATTTACTTTTTCAATTAAAAATTATTTTAATACACCACATTTCCTTCCCCATAATACTCTCACACCCCACATTCTTAATATACACCTTACATTTTCTACATACAACCCATATTTTTTATATACCCCACATTTCTCAAATCTTATAACACTCATTTTTAATGTTGCCGAATGATTTCAAACTATCTGAACGTTAGTTTGCCAAATGATTTCAAATTGAATGATTTGAAAAAATGTTTAGGTTCATTTGAACGTTTTTTAATAACAATAATAATGATTTCAAAGCTTTCGAAACACCGATTTCGTATTTCATTCGTCAAAAATAATTTTTCTCAATCAACATATTTGTAGTTTCATTGCTTAGGGTTTTATTTAACAATGGAGGGTGGGAGGGATTTTTGATAGTTGAAGTAGATAAATAATATGTTAAAAATGATTTGGGGTGTATTTATAAATTTTTTATTATTTTTTAAACTTAATAAGGTCAAAATTGTCATTGCATAGTAGAGTAAATAAGTCATTAATATTAATTTTTAATGTGGGGTGCATTCAACATTTTGTGGGGTGCTAATATGAAAAGCCCTATTTTATATGTAATAATAAAAATAAAAGTCAAGATTAATATGTCAATAGAAAACAAACTTGTTTTAAAATTTGAGTAAAATAATAATACAGTTTGTCGAAAGATAGAGTAAATAAAATGCAAGAATTGGAAGTGAGATATCTTAGGTTCGAATCTTATGGATGATAAATTCGATACCAAATTAGACTGCTTTTTATGTGGCTTAGCTGAACTATCTCTCTTCTTAATGTAAAAAAATCGATGTACTAAAAAAAAACAATGCAAGAAAGTGTAAAAACGACTTAAAATATCGAAAAAGCAATATTGTAGTTTGCAATTAAAGTTTTTTAAACTTGTTTAATCATCTTGCCTCTTGCAGCTGATTTTGCACCCACACGTCAGCACTAGACACGTTGACGATTTGTGATCGACATTGTGATCTTACTTTTTATATAAAATTTGATAATAACCTAAAAAACTCCAAATGTAACTCTATAACTTTCTGTTGATTCGAAAAACTACCAAGCCTACGTGGCGCGCAGGCCGAGTAATCTATGAGCTAACTACGTCATTCGGTTGAATGAGGGGCGTGCCAACTCGTTGGCCAAGCTCGGCCGAGGAGTAAAATATGCTGATGTTGTGTTGAGTGCGCGGCCGACTTTTGTGTCTTGCTTGCGACCGAGGAAGGAACACGTCTCGGCCTCTTGGGTTCTTGAACCTGAAGACAAGGCTAATATTCTTACGAAGTTTACAAATCGTTGTCGTCGGATTCGGTCACAGTGATGGTATTCATCAAAGTAAACTCACGCCTAATCGACACCAAAGTGTAAGGGCACAAATACTCAAAGCGGATATATGTCTTAACAATAAACGTGGTTCAGTCGTCGGAATGCCGAATTCTAAATCCCACTTGAGAGTATCCAATCATAAAATAACTCGGTGTGCAATGTGCCAAGCCTAATAAACTGTAACACCTCACTTCGCCAAGAAGGCTAATGAGATGATCTCGACCAATAAGGATTCGGAAATCCTTTTCGACCGAGACTTGGATAGATAACCAGTCACCCTCGACGCAGTGTTATCTATGCCGACTGAAGATGCTGCAAGATTGGTTGGTTCTATAGTGACAGTGCTGTTATGCCAACTGAAGATATCACCAGTTGCCTTCACAGTGCTGTTTATCCAAACTGAAGGTGTGTCGGCGAAAAGAGAAAAGAAAAAATCTCAAGGTTGTTGAGAGAATTTGCGCAGGGCAGTTGTGTGTTGAATTGGAGAGGGGTTTGAATGATGCACAACCTCATTTATTTATAGCATTAGGTCATTTCTGGATCGAGTTAAAACCCTACTCGGATTAGGACTTCTTATTCTGATCAAACACTATCTCGACCAGTCCTATCTTGCCGAGACTCCTTATTGTGCCAGGATTCAATTACTTGTCTGGCAGTAATACTTGGCCGACCTAGGCTAAGAAGCCCATAGACTAGACTATCCACAATAACCTTTCGTACCTTCCGGGCCGAGAATAAAACTCAGCCCAAACCATTATTTTGGGCCCAAACACTTTCATAAAAAATAAATAAAATGTAACGCCATAAAATGTTAATAGAATCATGATCCATTGAGCTTTCCAGTGATACACCGGTTTTTGGTCGTATGGTTCTTGGTTAATGATACAATGACCAATATTTAGCGTTCAAATATTTTAGTGTACAGATTATATCGAAATACCATGAATATTTTTGTGGAATACAATAGAATTTTAATAGTTGGACATTAATTTTAGTGTAAATTAGGTTTCAGTCCCTAGTTACCAATGCTTTATGATTGAAATTTTGTTTGTTTTCAGTTTTTGATCCAAGTCTCTAAACGTTATATACATAATTATTTTACTATTAATATATTTCCATCTTAGTTATTTATTTTTTAACTTAAAAAATTATAATTTCAAATCCAAATAAATAACTAATGGACCCTAACTAATTTTTTTTCAAATTTCTTTGTAGATAATTGATATCCAAAGTAGGGTATTCATCT